ATCGTATATCAATTTATCAGTGAACAACGTGCTGTGCACACCAACGGTAGCAGATCCGACTGACAATGAGCAATCATTTGAAATAAGTATTCAAGATACACTTTTTCCGGGAATGGCCTGCGCTTGGGACTTGAAAGGAGCTGCTGGAAAACAGATCCAAGTTTCGTTGACAGCCGCATCGGTATGTTCAACTTGAATTTGTTTTCAAATGCATCTTACATTTAACCAACCAAACAACCAAACAAATACTGAGTTGTACATATCTTTTACAAATTAACTTTATTATATTGAACCTAGTCTACTGACTGAAAAATGAACATTTTCCAAATGATTACCTCCCGATGCATTTTTATGGGTGATCAATTTTTAATATGGTTCTACACTATAAGTCGTCATCTATGTGCAACCCGCATCACTATGGGTAAATTTTGGTTATGTACGTCCATTCTTGTTATATTTAAACAAGTCATCAAATGACGTTGTGCATTCTGTTTTGCCTTGCTTCCTTTTGCACTACGTTCGTCATTGAAATCTCCACGTACTACGACATTTCACTGGTCTATTTGTTTGACTTCCAACAAGTGATTCCGCTGCAGCCAGTGGCTTAGACAATAAACTAAATAACTCCGCATACTCAATGTGTTTCCATTGGCAGGCCGAAACCAGAGAGCAGTGTGTCACAGTTTATAACAGAGATGCTGCAGACAATACGGCAGTCAAAAAAATTTGTGGTGAAGAGGGCAACAACAAGTTTACTGGCAATCTCGGGAAGGATGTCACTGTGGAGTTTGAAAATCCAAAAGATTCGGATAAATCAATCAAGAATTTCAAAGTACATTATCAACTTGGTGAGTTCCTCCATGCTTGAGCAACAAGCACTTATTGTGAAACAGCTCATCTTGTTCCGTTCAAAATTACTGTCTCTCTACGGTGCACACGGGTTCATGGGTATAGCTGACGAATTGTGGGATAACGACACACATTTTATCATATTGGGACACATTTAATACGCAAGGTGTTGTACTATGTAATTCTGAAAATGGGAATGGAGCGAAAATTGAATGAGTACCCTAAATCTTTGGTAAGTTTTTAAATGGATTAGTACTATTAGGGTCTAAGAACATATAACCATAGGCTTATCGGATAATTAAGTTGGATTCTGGAATTGGTCTCGTCAAACGAATGCATTAATTCACCAAAATAACCGTTTAGCTCAGCAGCGCAACTAGTGTAATGCAATCTGATTAATTTTGAATTGGTCAAATTATTTGCTTACCACCTAGGTATCAACAAACACAAATCGCCTTCGTGAATCAACACTGACTGAACAAGAAACATGCGGATTTGAATGAATTCATCAAGTTCTTAACTTTTAGACAATACATGTTGATTTTATTCAAAAAGAAAATTCATTTAAAATAATATGTTTTCGGTTTACAGTAAAGAATGCGGATCCGATGAACCCGGCTGGATGTAATGTGATTCCGGGACCACCAGCAAACCAAGATCAATCATTCACGGTAGCTAAATCCGGAGACACTATTCCAGCCGACCTGACTTGCACCTGGAATATTCAAACTAGTGATGGGAAGAATATACGTGTCAGCTTGAATGTGGACTCGGTATGTGCTTAATAATCGTTTGCAATTCCAAACACATTGTTTTCAAGCACGACTGTAATAATATCATTTTACGTTTGCGTTCTAATCCCAAATCACTGGTGTTTCCGCTGGAGGTGCACGTCATTCAAAAGTGAATCCAAACCTATTCACTCCAATTCTTATTAACAAAGCGTACATGGCTGTGTGCCCTATCAGAGTATCGGAGTAAAAGTTAAATCATTCGCAGAAATATTCTCTCAGTGATGTTCTTATTGAACTATTCGAACCAGTTTGTGAAACAGTTCATTGGCTGCTAAACACAGAAACAAGCTTTGGTACTTCTCGAGAAAAATATCCGCTCAGAATAGTCCATTGTTCAACGTAGTAATTTTGATTTAGAGGGAATATATCTCCATTGTACGTTGCAATGTTTCAGGTAGACCTACAAACCGAAGCCCTCATATTTGTCTTTTTTGTATTCATATTGAACGCAGACGAAAACGGAGAAGCAGTGTGTCGCGGTTGCCAACGCAGACCAGACCGGGGCAACGTTCATCTGTGGTTAAGAGCAAAACAACACGTT